CCAATGATTTTCAGAACAGGTAATAACTTGGAACTTCAAAAGCTGGAAGAATCGCTGAGATGGTAGAGGGTGGGGGGTTATAAAGCAGCTCATCAGATCACTCACCTATCCTTTCCACGTGCGATTTTCTTAGGATAATGTATCCAAGTGTGATTCACTTGCAATGGATCGGCAACCATTTTCCCAGTTTCACTGACATGTTCAAAATGAATAGTTGAGAGCATCGCCCTCAGTGAAAAGCTGCCCGAATTCCTTGCTGAAAAATCGGACAGAATTTATCGGAAACTGAAGCCCATAGGAAAACGAGGAATTTGAAGAGCCCTGATAAAGAAAGAAGAATGAAAGAATGAAAAAATGAATTTGAAGAAAAATTGAGGAATGAAATAAACACGTTCGAGTGAAGTCACTCAGTTGCTAGACATATGCATTAGCAAATTGAACCAGCTTATGTTCCCTTTCGCTTTCTTGCTCTTTCATTTTCCACCAGTAGTGATCACTTGCCAGCTCTCACAACCAGGGGAACGAGTTGGCGCCGCGCCAGATCTAGCCCTGCTGGCACGCCCCCCAACCTTCGCAGCGAAAGACTTTTCCCTCACTAGTCGCTCAATTTTTCGCTTTCATTTACGCTCTTTTGTCTTCATAGCATTCTATAACCACTATAGTCCTTGCAAATTTAATGTTGATGAGCGGCCTAACCACACTCCTTCTTGGATTCCAGCTATGATAAGTGGCTCACCCGGGCGTCCCTTCACTCAAGAAAAGCCATCTCCAGGCACGCTACATGTTCCTTCTCACCTTTCAATGCTTTTGTGACCGCTGTTTTGCCTGCATTGCAGGGTTTGACGTTAGCACCATGCAAAAATCCCAGCAGTCACGTACATAGCCCTCGTCAAAAGCAGTGCTCACGATGGCAGGGTGCATGGCTTGCACCTCTTTCAACGAATTCTTCCAAAAAAAATCTCCCCGGTTCTGAAACCCTACCCATTTTTGTTAGGTTGGTCCATCCTATGCAAAAATAAAAGTAAGTTCAAAACTGGTCCGTTGAGTGATGAATCCGATGCCGCAGAATCCAACAAATTAAACATCCGAAACAACTCGGATTTCACTAACGACATCTAGCCTTGTGTTTTCCTTCATGTAATGAATGTACGCAACATTTGGCATTGAATGGAAAAGATGGGCGAACTCGTCCAGATAATTTCTTGCCATTCTTGGAATCAAAACGTCGTCAAGATCCATGAACGCGATGTATGAAAGCGGTTTCCTGAAGTGACTAATTTTGTTGGTTCCAGTTACAACTGTGTCAACATAATTTCACAAGTTCCCCAACTATAGAAACCCGCTTTGAAGCATATTTGACCTCGTTTCCAAAAAATGATGACAGAATTGTGAGATCTGAATGACAGATCAAATTGATATCTCTCGATATGTGGTGAGTCTGTTGGCTTGGGCAAAATTCGCTGCAGGTGGCCTAGCGGGGGCATCAAATAGTGCATAGGCCACATTGTGAAGCCTTGTAAATTACTGCAACCAGATTGGCTCACTTGCGACATCTTGCTACCTCACCTGAGTTTACAGATCCTGATAGTCAAATGATTTTGCGGGAACAGCTAGCAACAGTACAGGATGCCCCTATCCCCAGGCCAGAGCCTGAATGGACCATCGTGCCAACCGTACGTGGCGGCGTAAGATTACCCCGCGGCACATCAACTCTTTTACCTTATGGCCAATAACAGCAATTATTACTGAACAACTCACCTTATACTGGAGCAAGCAATCGGTCTGTGCGGCTGCCTGATTCCGAAATTCGATGTTGATGTTTGGGTTGAAATCCCTGTCGTCAATTGTGAGCAAGGTGACCCGTAGCCACGGTTGAATACTTAAGTAACCCTGCAGAAAATTATGCCTATATCTCAAACGCATTCTTCATATTTCAATATCTGAGCAGCTAATAAGTTACCATTTACTACTGGGATTACATGGATTCACTTCCGCTAAGAACAAACCTCTTCTTCGTAGATTCTGAGCAACTGGTAAACAGGAGAAACCATACTACGAACATATAGATGCATGTAGGTCCCGAATCTGCAACGGATTTACGAAAAATCTTCTGCAACTCTCATCAGAGAAGTATGGAGAAGGGCGGGGACACGCCCTCTGCAAATCACTGGCGGAAAATAGCTGGAGACACAGGCAGTCCTTACACAGGAGTTTAACAATGATTGGTCCCTTTGCTATGCGTCAGGTGTCCAACTCCCATTTATGAATGCTGATTCCCTAGGTACAGCATCGTTGTGCGAAACCCATAGGGGGGGTCGTACTTGGCCGCTGGGGGGGGGGTCGTAATCTCAAGGGTCAGTCAGCGCCGGGCAATGCTTATGACATTTCAGTTGATAGTGGGAGTGGAGCTATGAAAGCCAAGATGTTGAAAAAATGTGAAAATTCCCATGAGTGTATTCTTTACAGATTTAACTGCTCCGTTACGGCCCTCTTTTCGTGCGAATCCCAGAAAGGGTTTCGTACTTGGCCACGAGGGACGTGGGAGGGTCGCAAGTGTAGACTCGCTTTGCATCAAACAACACAAAAGTGTCACTGCTAAGTTTAGTGGAGCGGACGGAAAGCTGCAGAGCTGCTCATATTTGATGTTGAAACAGCCTCTTATTGCCTGGATTTTAGAGCAGAGTCCGCCTTTCGAAAATCCAGATTCCATTTCAGGAAGCCATTTGTGGTGAACATGCATCTGGTTGTCAGTTAGAGCAGGAGGGGGGGTCGTATCTGGACCCTCTTTCGAGGGGGGGGGTCGTACTCACACCGCCATTTCGCACATCCCCATGCTGTACCCTGCGCGACGGTGATGCAGCGCGTCACGATCGCGGCGGTCAGCTGTTTCCAGCCTTAATTTGGCAATTTTCTCCCTAGTTTTCACTGTATTTTCTTTTTTTTCAAGGTAAATTGCGTTATTGTCTATATGAAGTATATCAAGACGTGAATTATTTTTTTTTGTTCTTGTAATGGGGCGTTTTTCGCGATTTTAGTAGTTATTTGTTTAATTGTTTGTTTAATCGTTTAATTGCTCGTAAACGTTGGAGAAATCTCAACCATAATTTTTCTTATGAAAACAAGAAACAGCTAACCTTGGTAAAAGCAGCCAGAAAGTAGGGAAAAAACGACTAAAACAGGCCGGAAGCGGGTGATCGCCGCACATACATACACTCGAAATCCCTGAGATGCGGTAGGCGTGGCTGCGCACGTCGACTGAACGTGGCGGGACGCGCTTCTGGAGGGATATTTTTCCTTCGAACAAATGTATCATGCCTTTGTCCGACTCAAAACACGACGACAGTAGTCTCAAGCTGAATTGTCCCGCGATTAATCCATCCTATACTACGTCCAAATGCCACGCCTACTCTGTCTCAGGGATAGGGAGTGTAATTCCTACGGTCGCTCCTGCAGCCGCGTCTGCTGCTCTTTGACGACCGCCGTAATCAACTGCCCGGAAAGGAGCGGTGCACTAACGAAGCAGGTATAATAATCAGGGAACCCCGTTAACCATTCATTCTCCTCCACTGATCCTCCTCAGGCGAAATGTGCCTCTGAGTAGAGATGATACCGAAGAATCAAGCCCGGAAGCCACTAACCATGATGACCATGAGGTTTGTAAAGGATATAATAGGTAGTTTAGGGGAAAGTGTGTTTTGGTTAGTTAAGAACATTCCACTTACTGTCTCAGAAGACACTGTGGAACCCAAACAGTAAAATCAGAGCTGCAGGGCGTTTTTGGAGAGCTTATTTCGACAGTTTCACAATGTTACTCACTTTTTGTAAATATGAGCTGCGAAGAGTGCCTGTTGCCATTGCTCATTGCCAAACAGCGGAGCAATGCAGGTTACCACACTATGCTTCTTCACCGATGGCTCACGGAATGGAATCTGCAAAGGAAAGTTGATTGTAAGGACGAAAAAGAGCAGGTATTTTTGCTTTGGGGTAACTTAGGCTCTGATCACGTCCTGTATTTTGGCGTTGGCTCCCTTTCACACCATTACACGCTTGTTGGAGCCACGACTTTTTCGACCAAAACAAGGTTTTAGTGACAGGTTTTAGTGACCTTGAAGGGATTACTTGAAGGACTCCTTGTGAAAAATTATCATTCGTCATCCTGTTGGAATCACCGTACTTGGAAGTGGTTCATCCACCCCAGAGTCCTCTCAGTCCTCCCACTTCAGGCTCAGGCAGAGCACCTTATCTCAGTTGCGGTTATTCTAGTTCTGGAGGAGTTCTTAGAATGCCTTCTCCCAAGTTATTAGCGCTCGAAACAATCACTAATATATGCGTTTTTGTCGCTACCGCCATTTAGATATAGCCCTTGTCCCTGCGTAATCTGAGGCATATCAGAGAGTTTGGTTTAGAGCTCCGAAAATCCGTTTTTCGCCACATGTTGTCTCATGCCCCTTCAATAACTGGTGGAGAACGGGTTGCGCCAAACCTGCCCCTCCCCCCCTCTTTATACGCCCTACCATCTGCAGTGAAAACGACTGGAAGTGTCAGCGTCATTTTGGTTTTTATCGAGTTACGAACCTCTTTGAGGAAGAGTCTAAGGTCCTAGTTACAAACGCAGATTTACGTTCTTACGGGAAAATAATCCCATCTTCGCAATCATGCTCACCGGCTACACCAAATGCTAGTTTACCGTGATTCTGAAGGAAAATGTTGTGGCGTCAAACTAGCGGGTAATAGCGGAAATGGATCCTACATACGTATTCAGAACACTGTAGGGATGCTCGAGCTCTAATACTTGTGTAGTCTGAGGGCGCTTCACCTCAACCAGCTTGTTTCCTGCGGATATAGCGAGTCGTTCCATGTTGGGCAACATAATCGAAGTGGAAAATATTGAAATCCATCGACAAACATTATGTGGAGTTATCCTAAATCAAGGAGCATGCCTGGAACAACAAAGATGGAGAAAAGTAAGCCCTAAGCTCTCAGCACAAGGAAGAAAACTAAAAAAGCTTTTACTTGGCACTGACATTTCAATTTCTGAGTACTGGTAGTGGGGGGGGGGATCGAAGAAAGAGATAAGCTCTGATTCTCTATCTCACAAAATTGTTCAAGGGAGTTGGAGGTGCTGCAAGTGCTGTCACGTGCGCGGCAGTTACACCAGGACTTCACTGATCTGAACTGCTAGTTTCTAAGCGGGGCCTGGACGTGGATTTCCCGCACTGCACCCACTTTCCTATTGGGTTTGGTACAAAGGTGGCCCGGGGCTCGGCGGGGTTTTCCAGGGTACGACATCGGGTTCCAATAAGATCCCTCTGTGACAGCCTTCCTGCCACCTTACCAAGTTCTTCCACCTCCGTGCCAATTTCCAGGGATTTTAATTTTCTTGAAAACTGGCGTCGAGCTGAATTACTGGGGTGAGGGAGGGTTGGGAAAGCAGAACTGTAATGGGAGAGCAAATCCGCAATCAGAAAACTCCCCTCCCGCCTCGCACGAATTTCTCGTGACCCCTCCCTTACCCCAGTAATTCAGCTCGACGCCAGTTTTCAAGAAAAACTGGTAAAATCCCTGGTAATTGGCACGGACGTGGAAGAACTTGGTTAGGTGGCAGGAAGGCTGTCACAGAGGGATCTTATTGGAACTGCCGTTTCATCAGACCCCTCCCTCACCGACTATGTATGACCCTACGAATTCCCCCGCATACCCCCCCCCCCAGGAATATGATCCCATGGGAACTCTCCCACGGATTCTGTACCCTCGGCCGTAGCTCTTTTGTCGCCGATACTCCAATTGTATGTACATTTTTGAATATCGCCTCTCCCCCACCCTTTTTTTGCTCTCAGATACGGACTGCATGGATTCTGGAAAGGTTTACTCTTCCGTTTATCAGAGGATGATAAAAGGTTGGCATATTGCCAGTAAGAACAGTTCCTATTCTTCGCTACAATTCACTTACCGTTCAATAGTTGCGTTGACGACGACATTTGTCTCGTTATTCCATCCAACCAGGAGAATTCTTCGAAAATGTCTGGGTGCTCTGAGATCTCCAGTAAATACCAAAGCCACAGAGTTGTTACCAAGGCTGCAAACGTTCAGTGAAAAGGATGAATTGTCTACTCAACACTTAATCTGACAAGAAGGAGGTACAGCTGGTGGCGGAATGTACGCCAATTGTGGTCAGGGTGCTTAATCATGAAGGCACTCCATGGAAAGAATCTGCACAACCCTACTGCTCCTCACAAGAAGCTCCTTCTGGTTAGACCATATGACTCCTCCCCATCCCTTATCCTATCCACCATCTCCCTGAATTTTCTTTATTCTTTTCTTTACTTTCTTTAGTTTTTCCGAAAATTCTCCAGTTTCTCCCCAAGTCGAGCGAGGGACATAGCAAACATGGAACGTGGGAAACCGAGGAAAATCAACGGCGAGAATATATATTTCACAAAGGCAAATATGACTCCCCTCCATTCTGCGACAAAATAGACCCCACTACCTCGCTGTTTCCCCGATCCCCAACGCACAATGCGCCCTGATCATTCCTGACCATCTTTCGGGCAGGTGCGTCGTAAATATTATACTTTTGTAGCAAGGGGAGTTGGTAGGGTATACATAGTTGGTCAGATGAAAGGGGTTCGATTTAATAGTACTGCTTGAAGAAAGAAGTGGCATACATCACAAGATTGCTGAGCGATGAGCAAAATTCTTTACCCCATCCGGGACTCGAACCCTCACTCCACGCTATCGGGTGAGTGCGCGAGTCGTTACGCCACCAGGGCCGCCGTCTTGGTCTCTTATGGTCAGCTCAATGGCTTTTGCGCCATTGAAACAGGTCACACTTTAACATGAAGTCATGGAAGTATTAGGAAAAAAAAGAAAAGGAAAAAAAAGAAGAAAAAAGGAAGTATATAATAGTCATTAGGCTACACCTTTTTGAAGTCCTGTAGAAGTAAGAAGAGAGAATAAAGAATTCGTATGGTTCGTCAGGTTTTACGCCGCTATCTCCAACATGAAACATGATGCTAAAAGAGCAAACTCTCTTAGACGTTCAATGAATGCCGATCTTGATGAACAAATAAATAAATAGGGCACTATTGAACTACTGTAATCTCTCGACCCCGAAGGTCAAAAAAATTTTCGCTGAATTTTTGATAACACGGGTGAATCAGAGCCCTAACTACGATCATGACAAAATTTTTAGCGCTGGCGCAATTTGGCTCCATTACCCACCAATTTGGCGCCACCGCTTCTTTGACCAATATCGCTGAAAACTTGTTTGAGGGGGTTAGTTGACATCCTGGTCACGAATATGGCATTCATTTTTCGACAAAAGCGCCATTAGAGCTCTGCTGAGGCTCA